CCCTAGGCCATGCATGTAGAGCTGGTGGAAAGTCGATCTCTGCCTCGGCAAAACGAATTCAAATTTCAAAGAGGTTGATCTTTCAAAGATTCTCGTACGAAAGTGTACGTCACGTGTCGTCGGCACTGCATGTTGGCTCATCAGACTTTGATTGTTCGATGTCGGGCGACATGCAGAGAGGGAAAGCTAGGAAGGGCCTGACGGGCCTCCACATGTCGACTCACTGGAGGTGGCTGTAGGCGAACTACTCAAGACTATAGCAGCGTGCGTGCGATCAAGCTGCAAAGCGTTGTGGGTGTCGCGCAGTTCACCCTTTGGATCCGCCGCTCCACATGCGAGTAAGCGAGCCAGCGCTCGTTGTGTTGTCATCTATAGCGGCAGCACGGACCAGTTGTGGGCCGCGGGTCTGAGCGAGTTGGGATCAAATCAGCAGGGTCGCTCGTACGCAGTCTCTGTTGTGTACGACTCAGAAGAATCTGCACGCACCCATACCAACTTCTTCACCACCATCAACCAATCCGTTGTTGCACTATTGTCCTCACTAGACCTTCAAATTCAGTGTATCCCTCTCATCGCTCGACGTTGATCCAAGCCCAACATGTCGGCTCCAACAGGTGCGCATTCTTTGTTCCTTGGACGTAGCAGTGTCTTGCGTCTTGCTGCGCGAGAACCCTACGTTCAAGCATGGCGAAAGCAGAGACCGTCGATCGCTTGTGCCCGCAACGCATCCACCGCTCACACTACTTCTTTCTCTTCTGCGCCTCCTCTCGATTCCCAAATCATGCATCGATCGCACGCCAACGATCTTCCATGGCTGCTTGCTCCGAATGCTCCTATTCGTCGTCAATATTTTCACGGAACTTCTCCGGCACGCCTGCTTCATCGTCCACTTCCACGCCCGCAGAGACAGCCTCCTACAGGCTCAACCACACCATGTTCCGCATCAAGAATCCGGAAATTAGTCTTCGTTTCTACACCGAGGTGATCGGCATGGAATTGATCAACGAGCACGATGCGGGCGATTTCAAACTCTTCTTTTTGGCATTTACACAAAACCAAAAGGGCTTGAACCAGAGTCATAGAGAGGGTATCCTGGAGCTCACTTGGAACAAGGGTACGGAAAAGGATGAGAATTACAAGGTTCACAATGGAAATGATCAACCTCAGGGTTTCGGTAAGTCTTCGGATGCGAGCCTTGCTTCTAAGGAGCCCCCCTTACGGCTGACTCGCCTGATCGTGCATCTTCCCTGCTCGCAGGCCACATTGCCATCTCGTGCGACAATGTGCAGAAAGCGCAAGACTACCTCTTGTCCAAGGGCGTTCAATTCAAAAAGAAGCTCGAAGATGGCAAGATGCACGAAATCGCCTTTGCTCTCGACCCAGACGGGTGAGTTCGACTCGCAACGGTTGTTCACAGGCGCGTACAGTCGATGTTGGCTCACCACTTCAGACTCTGGACATCTTTGCAGCTACTGGATCGAGTTTATCCCTCTCAAATTCTGAGCAGGGTACGCCTTACTTGACGCAATCGTCAAGTGACGTGCGCCGCACAGTATCCACAACATCACGCAATCGATAGTCTTTCTGCAAATCGTTTGATCGTCTGATCACGTCACAAGGCGGTAGTGATCTTTCCGAGTACTAGTGTGTATGCACAACCACGGTGATTGGGCCCTCGTTGATGTTCAATATGAAAGCATCGTTGCTTGTGAAGATCCGTCTT